ATTCTGAACTACAAAAGTGGTGTCCACAGCCACATACAGTTTTAGACAAGGATGCATTTTCACACTGAATAGTACTAACAAATAAGTTAACAAAACAATACCTGCTTAATACCAAATGCTTGTTCTGTCACCAACTTTTAAAGCAACACCATTCCAACTACTACTAAAAGCATTTAGTTTTAGAAGCTTTTATCTGATCTAGGAAAATAAATTCTCCAAAAACTTGACAAATAGAATGGATAAGCCCCAAAGCTTTTAAATTTAAAAAGGTTTCCAAAGGCTTTGGAATGGCTCACAATGGCTCACGCCTTTAATCCCAGCACTTTGGGAGACCAAGGCAGGCGGATCACTTGAGTCAAGGAGTTTCAGACAAGACCAACCTGGGCAGCATGGCAAAACCCCATCTCTACAAAAAAAATACAAAAATTAGCCATGTGTGGTGGCGCATGCCTGTAGTCCCAGCTCCTTAAGAGGTTGAGGCAGCAGAGGTTGCAGTGAGCTGAGATCCCACCACTGTACTCCAGCTTGGGTGACAGAATGAGACTGTCTCAAAAAATGAAAAGTTTTCCAACACTGAAGCCTTCACATGAAACAGTTTCTCCAAAAAAACAACTTGCTATCTGAAGAAAAGAATATTAAAACAAATTACCTTTTAATACAAATATTCTTAAAAGATACTTTTTCTAGGCCGGACGCGGTGGCTCACGCCTGTAATCCCAGCACTTTGGGAGGCTGAGGCGGGTGGATCACGAGGTCAAGAGAGCGAGACCATCCTGGTCAACATGGTGAAACCCCGTCTCTACTAAAAATACAAAAATTAGCTGGGCATGGTGGTGCATGCCTGTAATCCCAGCTACTCAGGAGGCTGAGGCAGGAGAATTGCCTGAACCCAGGAGGCGGAGGTTGTGGTGAGCCGAGATCGCGCCATTGCACTCCAGCCTGGGTAACAAGAGCAAAACTCCGTCTCAAAAAAAAAAAAAAAAAAGATACTTTTTCTATATCTACTCAAGAGAAACATCAAACAGCTCACCATCTTTAATAATTTGATTAATGTTGTCTAGAAACTAAAGAACACATGACCAAGCTGTGTTTCAGGCTATGGTGAGTCAAAGGTACCATTTGGATTTCACATATTAAAGAGCTGTAGTATAGCTTACAGTGGCACAAAGACTCAACACAAATATTGTGTTGTTTCATCATGTAGGTAGTCAAAAGTCAGAAGGAACTGTGCAGTTTGCAAGATCCTTCATTCATCGTCATTAAAACTGAATTCAAGTATGGTAATATAAATGCAGGCGTTAAAAGTCTGAAATAACGTTTTAAAATTGAAAATACAAAAACTTTGTTTCTTTATCTTTCATTTACATGGTTAGATATCAGGACCTTACTGTAGAAAATATTAAGTTACTATATATGGTTGTCCCAGAAAATAATGGAGCTTCAGAAAGTACAAAAAGTGTCAAAGTCCACAGTTGACTTTGTCAAATGCTTTTCTAGCTCATTTCAATTATTCGTTCATAGTAACCAAGTCTTAACCCTAGCAAACTTTCTTGGGTCCTTTCAAATTAAGAAGACGGTTTCTTCAACTTGTACTTGATCTGGTCTTCCAATTGGCATTGGAAGTTCATCATTTAATTGATGAACTCTATAACAAGATCTTCAAGAATATCCACTGGCTCACTGTAAGGACTCTGATAATACCCAAACCATCAGACATCATAATTCTTTAGGAAACAGTCTCTCTTTTACCAGATCTGCCGTCTACTCCTTCATTTTCTTCCTCAGAGATGTGATTTTCTGCCCTGTTTTCTCAAGGTCATTTTTGTTCTTCAAGTCTGTCCTTGATGTCCTGCCAGTACTACTCAGATCTGGGGAGTCAGTTGGATGGCTCTGGTGCCAGGTTTGGGACAGAATGGTTACAGTACTAAAGACTCTCCAAGTCACTGCTCACAGAGACTGCAGCTGGTGCTGGTGTCATGACAGAAGCAGAAGAATCACAGCCTAAAAGGATATCTGTGGCACTCTCTCCACGGTTAGAATTGGAACAGCTGGTGAGGCAACGTCCTTGGAGGATGGAGGGGACGAGTAACTTGCTTCCAGATGGGGTTGGGAATCAATTGAGGCCTCCAATACAGTCTCTTGCAGTCCTGAGCTTAGAAACATCTCCTCCTCATCATCATAATTATCTCTTTCTCTCTTTTAGAGAAGGGCCTCACTATGTTGCCAAGGCTGGAGTGCAGTGGCCATTCACAGGCATGGTCATAACACACTATAGTCCCCAGCTCCTGGGCTCATGTGGTCCTCCTGCCTCAGCCTCCTGGGTAGCTGGGACTACAGGTGTGTGCCACTGCACATGGCTGAAACACTTCATTCCTTGGTTGTAATGTTCCCATTACTCAACTTGATGGTCTTCCTTTCCTTAAAGCCCAAATCCAAGTTGGGATGAGTGTTCATTTCCAGAGATCCTTTGGGCATCTCAGATACCTGTTTTATCCAGTTAAGGTGATTTTTCAGGAAGATATCAAAGTCAAAGGCGTCACCCTCATCTATGAAGCCAATGCCAATGAAAGCACTATACCTGCGCAGTGTCATCCTAGACCACATTACAAAGTAGAAGCTGTAATCTTTCACTATCTCCTTAGCAGTGTCAGCATATTGTTCTACTGGTGCTTGAGCAAAGAGCTCTCCTGATATTTTATCCTTCAGTTGACATAGGCAGTCTTCCTTTGGAAGAATGGTCCACATTCTAGCCTGTAGCTGTTGCTGGAGGCCTGGGGCAGAATCTAGCAGACATTGACACTGGCTACTGCAGGATAGGCTTGTACTGTACCTTGGACTGCCATCTTGGCTCTCCCCTTTGTGCCCTCCCAGATGATGCTGGGAGTAAATTGAAGCCTCTAGTCCAGTCTCTTGCAGTTCTGAGCTTAGAAACATCTCTTCCTCCTCCTCCTCCTCCTCCTCATCATCATCTCTTTCTCTCTTTTAGAGAAAGGCCTTGCTATGTTGCTAAGGCTGGAGTGCAGTGGCCATTCACAGGCACTCTAGTTCTTTTTTGCATGATTTTTCCTTATAATTTATTTGTTGAACTATTTCTCAAAATCTGGATTTCCTTTTTTGTTTTTTTTTTTGAGACGGAGTTTCGCTCTTGTTACCCAGGCTGGAGTGCAATGGCGCAATCTTGGCTCACCGCAACCTCCGCCTCCCGGGTTCAGGCAGTTCTCCTGCCCCAGCCTCCTGAGTCGCTGGGATTACAGGCACGCGCCACCATGCCCAGCTAATTTTTTGTATTTTTAGTAGAGACGGGGTTTCACCATGTTGACCAGGATGGTCTTGATCTCTTGACCTCGTGATCCACCCACCTCGGCCTCCCACAGTGCTGGGATTACAGGCTTAAGCCACCGCGCCCAGCCTATAGATTTTCTTGAAATGCATCCTCATGGTGTTAATAAGTTCCTCTGTCTTCTCCATTTTCCATAAATTGTTAGTTGGGTTTGGAGCAGTGATTTCCTAACAGCAACAGCATCACCTGGGAATTCTAGGAAATGCTAATTCCTACTCACCCCAGAGGGGCTGGCTGTAAAGGTCACCATCTTGTTGAGACCTAACATCTCAATTCTGTGATGTCACCCATTGAAAGAGATCAAAACAATTGGGGTGGAGAAGGGTGAAAATATTGGATGAGGTAGTGGTTGGTCTCATGATGGGATGGCATACTTGTTATTTCTATGTTTTTATTTCATATCAATGAAAATTTGGGGGTTTTGCCTAACATGGAATGCAAAGAAAAAAAAAAGGAATGGTGAGCTTATGGTTAAACAGTTAACTTAGCTGATTTAATGTACTTTAAAAACTACATCATTACTAATGGTCTAGTGTTCCCTGCCCTTTGCAGAGACATGAGGAGAAAAGTTTGTTCTCCCTCAATGCTTAGGCTACTATTTGACCCTTTCTAGAAGACAGGGAGTTCAAATAGGGCAGACTGTCCTCCCTCAGAGATTGGAGTTTTAGTTACCTATATATTTGACAGCCAAAGGCACTTGGTTTGGAAATATCCTTGGTTGGGCCCTCTAGCTGCAGCCATGGCTAGTCAGTGTTTCATAGAGAATGCAAGCCAGGCTTGCTTTGCCGGAAAAGACCCTTCTGATTTTAGCAGAAAAGATCAGCCCAGGACTGGCCATCTGGCAGGTAATCAGGACCTACTTAAACAATTGAGCAAGGACCAATAGGTGGAACTGAATCCTCATGAACTCATGGAGTAAACATGCCTACCAAGCTGTAAAATTAAACTTTGTTTTCCAAAGCCTCAGTGAACAAAATCTGAGATAAATCACTTTTAACTCATCTTGGTACTCCTTTGTAAAAAGCAAAGGATAGACTGTATGCATTTGACAATGTAGAACTGAAAACCTAGACAGAAACACTTAGATTAACAAATGATAAAACATGACCACATCATTTTACAAAGTTTTTATACATTTTTTTGTTTTGTTTTGAGACAGAGTCTTGTGCTGTCACACAGGCTAGAATGCAATGGCATGATCTCGGCTAACTGCAACCTCAGCCTCCCCAGTTCACGTAATTCTCCTTCTTCAGCCTCCCAAGTAGCCAAGATTATAGGCACACACCACCACACCCGGCTAATTTTTTGCATTTTTGGTAGAGACAGGGTTTCGCTATGTTGACTAGACTGGTCTCGAACTCCTGGCCTTGTGATTCACCATCCTTGGCCTTCCAAAGTGCTGGGATTACAGGCATGAGCCACTATGCCCAGCCAGTTTTTATACATACTAACATAGTGATATTGGAAATCCATTTTTCAGTGGAAAAAAATGCTCTCTATTTTGGAAAGTAGGTAGTTGGGCTCCTGTTTTAAATGAAGACATGTTACCTGAAAAATTAATATGCCTGTGTAAGTTCAGTGAGGTGGCAAGGGCAGAAGGTGAAGAAGGGTGAAGAGACCAGAATATATCCATTCCACTACGAGTGGACATTTGGGTTGCTTCCAAGTTTAGTTACCTCCAAACCATGCTATATAAATATCCTTCCTTGTTCATGTGCCCTGGCACACATGTGCAAAAGTTTCTGTAAGGAGTTAAATTGCTTGGTCATTCCTTATGAGTATTTTCATCTTTATTAAATATTGCCACATTGTTTTTGCAGAGTGGCTGTACTGGTTTACAGCCCCATCAGCAAGATGGGTCTCCTTGGCTGGATTCCAGTCTGCCTCTTTTGGGAGGAGGGTGTAGCAGGGAGAGAAATAAGGCTGGCAAGGAATGAGGAAGCCAGGCAGGAGAAGGCCATTAGTGCCAATCCAAGGTGTTCAGACTGTATTTGACTGCATTGGGAAGCTGCTGGAACAGGGAACAAAATGCAAAAACAAGGTTTTGGGAAGGTGAGTCTTTAAAGCTCTCTCTTGGTTTGTTTGTTTTGGGGGTTGGTAGTGATAGTGGTGGGGTTGGCTTAGGCCAGCAGCAGGACTCAAGCTCACAGGAGAGAGGAGATCTGTGGGGTGACAGCACGAAGGGGACACTGAGCACATGTCTGGTGGCAGAAAACCAGAGCATTTCAGATCTCCCAACTCTTATCCTTAAATAATACAGTTAGACATTCACACACGGCTGGTAAGGGGTATGAAGTGCTACAGCCACTCTGGAAAACAATGTGGACTTATTTAACAAAGATAAATATGCACATACTGAGTGGCCCACAAGTCCTAAAATACACCAAGCAAAACAGGGAAAAAAAAAAAAGGAAGGAATCGTCAACATAAAGTGTCCACCATCTAATTGTCCACTTAGCAATTAGAAGTCTGATGATGAGCTTTGCCACAGAAATGTTTGTGACCAGTGGTTTGAGGGATGAGTGAGTGGTAGGAAAGAGAAACTGGGCGCCGGGCCTACTGTCAGGATGGTTGGCTGAGAGTAGACTCAAGCACACAGAAACATTAGTATGTGATCAAGCAAGATGGGTCCCCTTGGCTGGATTTCAGTCTGGCCCTTTGGGGAGGAGGGTGTAGGATGCTGGGTACAGGGTACATAATTTTACACATGGTGATGTAACACTTGGGAGAAACAATAAAATTAAATCCTCATTTTACACCATATACCAAATTAAAGTCCAGATGGATTGAATATTTAAATATACAAGGCAAAACTGGAAAAGAACTAGAAGAAAATCTAGAACACATAAATTTTCTATATAAAGAAAATTTATTTTGTGTATAAAGTTGGAGATGGCTAAAACTTTTCTAAAATCGACATCAAAACTAGAAACTTTAAAGGATAATATAGATAAATTTGACTTTATTAAAATACACACACACAGACACACCTATTAAACCTTTCTGTAAGAAAAAGAAAAAACAGTCTATAAACAAAATTAAATGACAAACAGAAAAATATTTATAATTGGGAAGCTGAGGCGGGAGGATTGCTTGAGCCCAAGAGTTTGAGGTTATAGTGAGCTGTGATTGAGCCACTGCATTCCAGCCTGGGTGACAGAGCAAGACCCTGTCTCTAAAAACAAAAAAGAAAAAAATATTTATAACATATGATAAATAACTTTTACAAATAATTAGGAAAAAGAAGCTGAGTGTGATGGCTCATGCCTGTAATTCCAGCACTTTGGGAGTCTGAGGCAGGTGGATCACTTGAGGCCAGGAGTTTAAGACCAGCCTGGCTAACCAGCCAAAACCCCATCTCTACTAAAAATACAAAAATTATCCTGACACGGTGATGCATGCCTGTAATCCCAGCTACTTGGGAGGCTGAAGCATGAGAATCACTTGAACCCATGAGGCAGAGATTACAGTGAGCTGAGATGGTGCCAATGCACTAGCCTGGGCTATAGAGAGAGACTCTGTCTCTAAATAAAATAAGTAGGAAAAAGAAACACATCAATAGAAACATAGATATGAATAGGAAATTGACAAAAAATACACCTACCAAGTTAAATCAACCTTAGCAGAAGTAAAAAACTAGTTCAAGATGGCAAAATGAACTGTTATATTTACTTCTCTTTCCTCCGTAAGTCCAACTGGAATTACATTTTTTAAATGAAAAAAAAAAAAGTAAAGTATGCAACCTCATGAGAGAAGT